AGTAACTTCTCTCAAGGAAGTTTGTTCCTAGATTTCCTGATTCAGAAAGATGAGCAATGCACATGGCCTTCTTTATAGATTTGTTTGTCCCATGCATCACTACTAGTCTTCATTCTTGATTCTTAAGCTTGCTCTCGCTCGGGAGTAGTACCGCCTCCGACCCTCGTCCCATACTATTGAGTTTCTTCGGTCCGAAGAGCCCTAGTAGTCAAATTCTTCTCTATTCTATAGGGCATTATTATAGCTTATATCGAGGGTTTCAGTTGGTGATAGTGGAAATAGGTTTCCACCTTTCTCCATCTCAAAACACCTATGTCAAACAATGGGGAAAACATTTACTGTTTCATCAAAGAAGTGATCTAAAGGCATCCACAAGCATCTGGACTTGGAAGGGAGCTCGGTCAGCAAGGAAGCAAATTCTTTTTATGTCGGTCAGTGCCTAACAAGTCTCTTCCTTCATCCTGGGAAAAAGGGAAGCCCTGTATAGTATAGATAAAAATGTGACTTTATCTGCAATCTTCGATCTTTCTCTCAAGAAGGGGCTAGGCATCTCTAATCAGTGTTTTGAGCAAACTCCCTGCAACATATTTACTTTGTGCTTCATGTAGGGTTTGGGAGGAGTGGTTCCAAGGGATCCTATGCTAAAATTTCTTTCAATTCGATTGGCTTTGCCACCTAGGCATAGGTGTAAATTAAGAAAAATCAAAGAAAGGGTTGCTCATCTTGCTTAGTGCTATGTATGGGTTAAAAGAGAAAGAATGAAGTGAGATTAGTTGCAAGAGCAGCAAGGCTTCAATATAGGTAATCAAAGGACTAAAAGATGAGTGATCCATTTGAATAAACCGCAGAGGTAGAGCTAATCAAGATGAAGAGTAAGGGTTTGCCTCTTGGTTGAAGATGCGAATGATAAGAAAAGACTTTGTGCCATGGATGCAGCCAATTTGAATGCCAATTGTATGAAAATTGTTTCAGTAATGAATAGGGACAATGCGGTAAAAGATCAACATCTAAACCCGAACTCACTTCCAGGGCTGGGGATGAGAGTATTTACGAAAAGACTCATACCTTAACTGCTGTCCCTAAAGGATATGTTTGCCACTTAAAGCTTCACCGTCTCGCTTAATGAATGGGAGAAACATAAAGAGATTTACCTAAGAGCTATCCCACTACCAAGGAAGAATACCCAAAGCCTAAATTGATTTGGTTTATCACCAGATCATTGTGGCAAGATGCACACAAGCAAGGGGTTAAGTTGCTTATTCCCTTCAAAAGAGCTAACACTAGTTACGCTTTCATACAAGCAAGAACAGAGTTAGGCTTTCCCCAATCCAACAGCACTGGTATCACATCTTCTATCGCGAATAAAGGAATTCTTAAACTGGCCATGCCAGAGAAAAAGCAGGTAAGCCTTATTCAATCAACTACAACCCAGCAATAAGAAGAAGGACAGGCCTACACCTAAGAAGAAATCCAAAACATCAAGGGAGCTCACAACCTATTCTTTTTATTTATTACACAATGAGTTGTGGACATAGTCAACCTCCTACTAAGATAAGAGAGGGAGACTCATCTCCAGGAAAGAGGAAGTGACCTACCCTTAATAGCTAGGAGCACTTTTAGGCAATCCTGCTTATTCACGTGAGCAAATTAGATCCCGTGGGGACAAGAACAAATGGCACGAATGAGCAAGCAGCCTTCTTTATTGAGCGGGAAGTACAGGAAAGGCCCTGCTAGGTCTAGACTAACAAAGCCCAACCTTTTCATTAGCTGTTGGAGAAAGAAAGCGTAAGGTGTGGTCTCTCAATAGACTCAATTAGGTAATCCTAGGGCCCTTTTAGCCGAGCTCTTTTATTAATATGAGGTACCTTTATCTCAACTTTTAGTACAGTGCTATTATCCATAGCTTACCTAACAATAACCCGAACCACCCCTATTTTTTAGTTATTAACAGCAAAGCCCTGGAGCTCGTTTCAGTGAGGTCAAAAGTACACCACACTGTCCCCCCACTTTAGCAAGGTGGGAAGGTAAAGGTACTAAACTCGAAGAAGGCAAAGCAAATTTGAACAACTAGGATCGATAGCACCGGATTGCTAATAAGGAGCGGGCAGTAAGAGGAGTCAGAGTTTTAGGAGTTGAGAAAGAAGGTGTTATGGCATCTTTACTCTTCGGTCAAGAACTCGCTCCTCATGTTGTATTGGTTCAATGGGGCAGGGATACGCAAGTCCCAGACCAAGGAGCCTTTAGCCGCTTCGTTCGGGCCTCTCACCTGAAGCTAAGAGCCCTAGCTAAATGAGTGCAACAGTTTAGACTCAACCATAATATGTAATTTTGGGATGCTGCAGGAGTGCACGGTGCTCGGGTAGACGAACCAGCGGGACGTTGCCATTGGCCCTTCCTGTATAGGATTGCCTTTTCAGACAGGAAATTGTACAGGCCCAGAAGCTCATAGTCGTACACCAACCAAAGACTAAACTAAGACAGCTATTGAGGAAAAAGGAGGGACATCAAATGGGTTCGAGTTTTCAAAGAAAGAACTTGTAGAGGTTCAATTCCTCTTGGATGTTGTTAAGCCAAGAGTGCCAAGCACATGCGCGAAATGAGAGCTAGAGGAATGGGAAGAGAAGAGAATGCCCGGGTTCTCCATATATAAGCCTCGGAATAATGGCAGTTAGTTGCTCTCAATAATGAAGTCTCGAAACAGAATGTAATATGGGTTGAATGTGTTTCTAAGGATGCTATTTCCTTAATAGCTAATGTTCAAAGTAGTGCCCATTCGTTATTCTTAATCATTAATAAAATTAGATACCTCCTTATGAGAATTAAGTTTGTTAGGCTGAGCCATGTTTTGAGAGAGGCCAACCAATATGCCAATTGGCTGGCTAAGCATGAGTTTGAGGATGATATATATGTCTTCTTATTTTACTAGAGCTTCCCCTTCCCTCGATCCCCTGCTAATGCTTTAGGAGTTTCTTGACCTAGAGTGTTTGCCTAAATTTATGTATTATTTTGGACTTTTAGCCCTGTTTAATAAAAAAAATAAAATCAGAGTGATTATTTATTTTTTTAAAATATTAAAAATATATGAAAGTTTTTCACTGTTACAACTACCTATTTTATTATTCATAAGTCACGAATCACAACAATTTATTAAATTAATACTATATCCAATCCTAGCTACGAGTTTGTGTTTAGTGCTCAACTTTTTTATTTTGTATAACTTATTCGTCGCCCAACAAATGATGATGTCGAAATAAATGTTGGCTTTGAAATCGAAAAAGTTACGAGTTTTTGGCTTGTTTGTTCGAGGATTCAACTACCACTAGTGGAATTTTAATACTTATTGACTGTATTTCCACTTTTTGAACGCCTAATGATGGTTACTTCAATCTTAAACAAACAGGTTATTTCCAACGAATCTCTACCTTATTAGATTAATTTATTTTTCCTGAAAGAAATTTTATAAAGATTAAAATAAATCATTATAATTAAAATTATTTCATTATATGAAAAATATTAATTAATAATTACTAATTAACAAATATATTGACACTTTTATTATTTTATTTTTCATAAAATTTTAAAATTTTCTTCAACGTTAGGATTTTTCCTTTAAATCTCAGGTTTTAATTACTTTGAAATTTTTATATGAAAATTTAAATCTTTAAAATCTTAATCACTATGTTTTCAAAATTAATTATTTTTAAGTTTTCTAAATTTAGTTATTTATTTTTATTTATTTAAATCAATTATATATACTTATCTTGTGATTATATTTTTCATTTTCATTTTAAGTTTTACTATAGTTAAAGTATATTTTTATAAATTTTTCGAATGATAATATGTTTTCTCGGCTACAAAAAATTAATTTTATATAAAAAAATTTAGTAAGTGAAAATTTATTTGTATTTGGGTATTCTTTTAATTAAAATTTAATTTTTTTGTCCTTGATTAATTTAAAGTTAAATAAACTAATTTTAAAATTTTGAATATAATCAAGTTATCTATATATATATATATATATATATATATATATAAATTAATCTAAATTATATATTTAGAGTGAAGATCAAGTTAATAAAGGAATAATTTTTATTAATATTAATCCACTTAATAATTTTTAAAATATTAAATTTTATTAATAAAATCATATATTAAATAAAAATTTATATAAATAAAAAATTAATTAGTCCATTATTAAAAAATTATTTAAACGTATAATATACTTATATAAAATATAATTAAATATTGAATTTAAAATTATATTTATTTTTAGTCTAAATTATAGAATCTTTCGCTAAAGTTAAATATTTAACATAATTATATTCAAATAAATTCAAACTCAATATAAAAAATAAAGTTAGAATAATTTAACGTGCTTAACAATATTTAAAATTATATGTTTACAAATAGTTTAATTTATTAAAACTTAACATGCACTGTTAATATATTAAAAACACATTATTTATTTAAATTGATAAAATTTAATATTCATCAGAATTTATTAAGTAAAATAAATTTAATAAAAATTAACTTAATCTCCATTTATATATTTGTATTAAAAAATATTTTTTTTATTAGCAAACAAGCAATACAGTTTTGTTTCATTCCATTTTCTTATAATAAATTGAAATTGATGAGCTCAGTTTTTATATATTTTAATTATATTTAATGATTTAAAAATATTTTATTCAAAGTGTTTTAATTTAAAACTAAACAAATGCTTACTAATTAATAAAAACAACTTTTAAATCTTAAAAAAAATGTTAAAATCCAAACTAATTTATTTATTTAATTAAGAATAATTTAAATCCTTACACTTAATTTATGCGTAATTTTATTTTCTTTTAATTAAATTAAAATAATCATAATCATTAAAACAAGATAATAATAAAAAAATCAACCAAAAAAAGTAAACAACTAAAATTAAAATATTTAAAAAGGCAACGCAAATTGATTATTCTGTCTCATTATCTTTCCTTCGCACAGACGCTGTCTTGACTTCCCTCCTTTCTCTAATTCACAGAGAAAGAGACTCTCCACCGTCCTTCCTTTTCTTTCTCTCGTTCTGTCCGTTAACGAAGAAGCATAACACGGATCCTGACTCGTTAGACAAGCCCGAGTCAGCAACTCATGGCGCGGGTACCCACTCACGTTATCGGCACCCTCTCCCTAATCCTACACCTCATCGCCGTCGCCGGCGACACCGTGCTCCTCCATAACCCCCACCATGCCTCTCGCCCTGCCATGGTTCTTCCCTTATACCTCTCAGCACCCAATTCCTCCACGTCAGCACTCGATCCCCGTCGCCAACTCCACGGATCGGAGTCCAAACGCCACCCTAACGCTCGTATGAGTCTTCACGACGATCTCCTCCTGAACGGGTAAACATCTTCCGTCGTCGCTGCTCGCACTTTTCTTCTTCGTGTATTTTTCAAATCGAATTCGGTGATTCGAGATTCATGTGTTTTTTGTGTATATTTCTCGGCGAATTGAATGGTTTAGGTACTACACGACGCGGCTTTGGATCGGTACACCTCCGCAGATGTTTGCTCTTATTGTTGATACGGGGAGTACCGTTACGTATGTTCCGTGCTCCACGTGCGAACAGTGTGGCAGGCACCAGGTAATGCTTGACTCCGTTTCTTCTTCCTTTTTTTTTTTTCTATTTTTCTTAGTACATAATAATATTTACGTATATTTGGATGATGTGTGCTTACGTTGATTATCTGTTGCTTTTCACTGATGGATCTTACCTTGACAAGTTATTTGGATGCCTATTTGTTGCAAATGGAAAAACGAAAATTAAATTGTATAGAAGAGCTGTTATTGTGTTGTAGATAGGATGATGACTCGTGATTGTGAAAATGCTTTCCTTGGGCATAATAGGATAAGGCAGTTTGGTTTGTGGTCTAGGCTTTTGCAAGTATTGATGAAGGCAGCGGGGTGGTTTGTGAGAGTGTAAACTGAAAGGTGTCAATTGGACGAGTGAAGATTGATAGGATATTTGGATACAATAAAAGATTAGATACTAATAGTAATGTACTTCGTTTCATTCTTACATTTTTTTCTCATCGCAAGCACACCCTCAATGGGGGGTTAAGCTGGCAACTTATTTGGCTTTCTGCTTCCCCTTGCCTTGATATTCATTACCCAAGTTATTTAGTAGGTTAACATCCGGCCTTTGAAACAAACTCATTAGCTAAACATGACGTCCTTGTGTGAATTTATAATTGTGTCCTTACTTTATGATATATATTTTTATTAATTTTAGAAATAATTCAATAATTTTTATTTGATTCTCATGCCTGTTTGAGACCTTGAAGTTGTAGATGCATTAACCTATTTGAAGGCCATCATGTAATTTAAACCTTCAGAAAAGATTTCAGAGTAAAATAGATTGTTCGATTTTCATAAAAAAGTGAGGACTACAAAAAAGCCTATATAAGCTATGCTGCTAATGCACGTGCATTACATAGATTGCTCTAACCTGTTTGATTTCCATCTCTATTAATGCGGTGGACAAATTATGCTTCTGTGTTTCTGGATACCATTTATTTTATGTAGAAAGATATCTAAAATATGAATTTGTTTCAAACTCATTGTATCTATGCATGTGTATGTTATTACATATCCAATTTATTGCAAATGGATGGGATTGTGATTTTAACTGGAATCAGAGAGATGTAAATGGATAATTTTGTTTAGAAATTTTTGTACCTATGCATGTGGAAGTTGTTACCCATTCACTTTATCTGAAGTATATTGGATTTGTGTGTCCAATTTTGTTTAAACAGGACCCAAAGTTTCAGCCAGAATCTTCAAGCACCTATCAACCTGTCAAATGCACATTGGATTGCAACTGTGACAATGACAGGATGCAGTGTGTGTATGAGAGACAGTATGCTGAAATGAGTACTAGCAGTGGCGTCCTTGGTGAGGATGTCATATCCTTTGGAAATCAGAGTGAGCTTGCCCCACAGCGTGCTGTTTTTGGCTGTGAAAATGTTGAGACTGGTGATCTTTATAGTCAGCATGCTGATGGCATAATGGGTTTGGGCCGTGGAGATCTTAGTATCATGGATCAACTTGTTGACAAAAATGTAATTAGTGATTCATTTTCACTATGCTATGGTGGAATGGATGTTGGTGGGGGTGCAATGGTTCTTGGTGGCATATCTCCTCCATCAGACATGATCTTTGCATATTCAGATCCCGTGCGCAGGTGTGTATATCAAAATTCTTATCTTGTGGAAATGAGATGTAATGCATTTTATTAACAAATGCATTTTATTAATCTCACACATTTACTCTAGTTTCGGGGTGGCGACAGTCCATATTACAATATCGATTTGAAGGAGATACATGTTGCGGGGAAGCGACTGCCTCTAAACCCAAATGTTTTTGATGGGAAACATGGTACTGTCTTGGATAGTGGTACAACCTATGCTTACCTACCAGAAGCAGTATTTCTTGCTTTTAAAGATGCTGTAAGTTCTTTCATTAATATCTTCATATGAAGATTTTGCAGTTGCATTTATTTAGTTTCACCTTCATTTTTAAAGCACCTTCTATCATTTTCTAGTTTACGAGTCTCACGTTATCAGGAGTTAGAATAAATTGTTCAATGGGCCAGAATATAATTACATTAGAGACTTGAAGGAAAACCAAAAATTTTTGGCTGTTAAACTGGCCTAACTCAACCCCAAAAACTAGCACAAGGAGAGAGGATTGTCCAAGTCTTATAAGGAGTATTGTGATCATGTTTCTAGCCGATCTGAGACATCTTAATAGAGACCAAGCTATATGCACATATTCTAATAATCATAATGAAAAGTGAAAGGAAAATTTTCAATTTTAAATATTTTGAGGAGGCCTTGACATCTCTACTTTACAAAGAGGAGCTATCTCTGCACGCTGTTGTTTGTGAATCACAATGCAATATTTCTTCTGAACATTGTCTGGCCTTGCTAGGTGATAGGAGGAGTTGAAGGATTTGACCACCTTGACTAATTTTTTTTGACATTTTTTATGAATTTCTTGGAGATTTATCTGATTGACTTTGGCAAGTTATTTATATTCTGAGAAGTTATTTTTACCATTTCCAGTACAGTTAAAATCATTGTGTGTAAGACTGTATGGATATCTGATTAAGCTTTGGATGATTTCTCTAATAACTGGTGCAGATTTTGGTGCCATGTCTTAAATGTCAACTTTGTAGTGGTTTTTTTGGTGGATTCTAGTTAATGGAATGCTATAATTGATACTGCTAACTTTTTCTGAATGAATTTTAAAGGTTTCTGAATCATTATGATTTTCTTTATTTAAATTGGAATAGTAGCTATGCCTTACTTTGAAGAATCTCTAATTTGTTGATTGAGTTTCATCTATGGTTTCTATTAATGTGGTCCTAAGAAAATTGGGATATGAAGTATTTAATTTTTCTTTTATCAGTGGGCATAATTTGAAGTGTTTTCTTTTTTCAATATGAAGTGCTAGCAAGTAGCAACAGAATTGTATTATATAGACTTGATGACTCTGATTATGTACTTATTCTGTTTGCAGATATTGAAGGAACTTCAATCTTTCAAGCAAATCAGTGGTCCAGATCCAAATTATAATGATATCTGCTTTTCTGGTGCTGGAAGGTATGTCTGTTACCTTAATTTAAGGTTCACATCATTCTTCCATTGCAGTTTAATTAACAGTTTGGGTTTTCTTCTTATTCAGTGATGTCTCACAACTCTCTAAAAGCTTTCCAGTGGTTGACATGGTATTTGGAAATGGTCACAAGTACTCACTGTCACCTGAAAATTACATGTTCCGGGTTAGTTATATATATGAGATCATTAGTGTCTTTATCTGTGTTTACAGGCTGGTGCAAATTGTTATCAAATCTTACTGATTTCATAATCCCTACTTTTCATGGTGTCATTTTTATGAAGCATTCAAAAGTGCGAGGTGCTTATTGTTTGGGGATTTTCCAAAATGGAAAGGATCCAACTACTCTCTTAGGAGGTAACTTATTTACTTTTGGGAACTTTATCCATTTTATGCTTTATACTTGATGCGTAATCATGTTCCTCTCTAATTTTGTATTACATGGCTAGCTTTTCTGGTGTAGGTTTCTGCTATTCTTTATGATAATTTTCTTTCATTTTTGTTTGCATAGGTATCATTGTCCGAAACACTCTTGTAATGTATGATCGGGAGCAAACAAAAATTGGTTTCTGGAAAACAAACTGTGCTGAGTTATGGGAAAGATTACAGATATCTGCTGCCCCACCTTCATTGGCTCCAAATTCAGGAGTAAGAAATTCAACTGAAGGATTAGAGCCTTCAGTTGCTCCATCAATGTCTCAACATAATGTAACTCAAGGTATTATAAGTTACTGGTCTTCAATAAAAGTATATACAGAGACATCATCTGTTAACATGGACCAGACCAGATATTGTATATTTCACATAGTTCATCATGCCTTTTGTATGTCTCAAATTAATGCTGATGTATATATGCTCACTGATGACTGATGTGCTTTGATAAACTTAAATGCACAGGTGAACCCCAAATTGCACAAATAACGGTTGTAATTTCATTTAACATCACCTACATGGATATGAAGCGCCACATTACAGAGTTGACTGGACTCATGGCTCATGGTTTAGATGTTAATACTTCCCAGGTTAGAAAATGATTACAACATTGCATGTTACATAATTACATATTTAAGTTCAATAACAATTTTAATGCAATTAAAAAATGTTGGATTAAAATTTACATGTACATGGCTAGTTCAGGTGGTTAGGATAGATTGGGGATTTTGGTAGGGGTCTTATGTTATGTCTCTTAGCTATGGTGATAACTTTCCAACTATGAAGGCTAGTACTTAGTACGACACGGATAAGATACAGATACAGGGATATGGAGAAAAATTTGAAATTCAAGATACGATACTGCTTAGATACGTTAACATGAATTTAAAGAAATAACATACTTTATACATATACAAAATATTTATAAAGAGATATTGATAATTCATTTATATTAATGTATTATATTTGGATATCAATGATCGCATCTTACCCAAAAAAAAATATGAGATCATATTTTTCCTTTGTCAAGTAACTAAGTCAAAATATTTTTCCTACTATAAACACATAAAAAAATTACATACTTTTCCACCCTATTCAAATTAGAATTTCACAAAAGAATTGGTAGTTCTATCCAAAAGAAATATAGAACTATCACGAAAAGAAGGTTCTGGCTTTATACTATTTAATTCTATCTAAACTGTATCGAATGATTAGGAGTCCAGTCATATCTAAGCCGTATTAGGTTAGAAATTAATTTTTAAAAATAAATTAAACAATAGATGCTTTTGAGATAAGTATCTAGATGTATCGGACACATATCGGTATCGGATACGTGTTTGACACGGATATGTTTGCTGTTTTGAAGTATCTGGGCTTCATAGCTTTCCAAAGTACCTAAACTATTCATTTTCAGCAAAATTTTCACTGCTAATGTGTTTTTACTGTATGCAGGTTCACTTACTAAATTTTACATCTCTTGGAAATGATTCTCTCTCTAAATGGGCTATAACCCCAAAAGCATATGCTGATTACATTTCTAACACTACTGCAATGGTAAGTCAGCATTTGTTCTTTTGCATTTGTATGAAGACTGCCCATTTGATGGTGATTTTCTGTACAGAGTATAATCTCCCGGATTGCTGAACATCGCATGCAACTTCCTGGCACCTTCGGAAGTTATAAATTGATTGATTGGAATGTTGAGCCTCCATTGGAAAGGTAAATTATTTTCTGAAAATGAAAAAACTTTAAATTTGGAATATTATCTGACTTATACCATGTTGTATTTGTTGTGGTTGGCTTATATTGATTCTATATAATTCATGCTTTATATTGTGCATATCTGATCTTGAGCAAATGAAAATGCTTTGATCTCGTGCATGTGTTTGATAAAACTAGCAGAGAAATTTGCTAAAAAGTTAAAAATCTAGTTAAAAGCTAAAAGGTTAAATGAAAAGGATAGGATAAGCAAATAGGTGAGAGTGAAAGGAAAATTTTCTCTATCTTATTTGTTTCTAACCCAACTGCCCCATATAATGATTTTTAAACTAATGAATTGGGATAAGATAAGCAAATAGGATCAGCTTATGCTATTCTATCATTCTTATCTTCATCTCCAAATGGACTCTAATAAGTTAGCTAATTGAATTAGGATAAAGATAAAATTAGTTGACATGTATAAAGTGATTAGCATGTTTGGATTTATGTTTGAATGGATATGAATCCACATATATTTTAACGCTACTAGTTATACTAGTATTTTTTTGCGTTAAATTCATGTTTACTAGTTTATTGTGTAACCAAACACACTAGATATTTAATTACTTAACCATAACATGCAATTTAGTCACTATATTTTTAAAAAATTGTCTCTTCATATTTAAATCTATTTGAAATAATTTATCATCTTAAAAAATACTATAATATTTTTTTTTAATTTATTCTCTTTTATAAATATTTTTATTAAATAAAATGAGATAATATAAATAAATTTATGTTATAATTTTGATGATTTTTTATTAAAAATAAATTATATTTGATGAGTAAGAGCGAGAATGCTAGAGGTTTCTGAATATAATAAGGATAAAGAAGGAAAATCTAATAAGACAGTAAAGAGAAAAAAAACAAGAGCTTATAAGCTCAAACGCTTTTAAGCTTAGTGAAATAAGCTAACAGCTTTATTTTGGTAAACAACCTTTTAAGCTTGTCATAACTTATTTGCCTTGCCAAACACACTATTATGATTAGGGCTAGGCTTTATCTAAAGGTGGTTAGCTCTTTATAATGATGTCTTCTCTTTTGGCTTTGGTGGTCATGCTATATAGCCTTTACAAAATAGATAGAGTATCCTTTTTTCACCAGGAAAGCTAATTCTTTCTCCTTGATGCTATTGAATTTGCTGCTGTTCGTCTTACCTGTGGTAGGAGTGTTTTTTGGCCACATATCATCATTGAAATAGAAAAGGTGTATTGTTGAGTAGAAATTCTTAGGGTAATGACTATTGAGAAATTCTTGAATAAGCATTCTATTCAGGTGGTATGTGCAAGCCGCAAGGGCATTGTTTAAAGATAAATTTTGTTACATGACACACAGAATCTTGCATAGTGTTAAGTTCTATAATTTTGAATCAAATTCTCACGGTAAGCAGTGTCAATCTAAAACTTCTCATAATTGAATTCACCTTATTCATAATGTTAACACGTTTATCTATAATGATGCAGGAATTGGTGGGAGCAATATTACATGGTTGTGAGTTTAGCTGTTTTGCTCACATTGCTTCTAGGATTGTCAATATTAGGAATGGTCTTAATTTGGAAAAAAAAACGGCAAAGTGTGCATTCATACAAACCAGTGGATGTGGCTGTTCCCGAGCAAGAACTTCAGCCATTGTGAGCTAACTTCATGCAACCGCTTTTGAATATCTTGGTTGATTAGTGTCGATAGCATATTCAACTACTATCAAGAGCAATTTATGCAAATCAAACTCACTCAACTGATCAAGTTTTTGTTTTTTTTTCAAAGAAATCAGGCTGTCAACGATATCCAGTGATCATTGAATCCTGATAGTGGTACATAGAGAATTCTCTAGATATTCTATCATCTGTAAACTCAATTTTGTTTGTGAATATTGTAATATACAGGTGAATCAAAGGGTGCCAGCATAAGGTTGAAATACAATTTCATATACTGTAATTGTAATTTTTTTTACCTTTCATTCCAGTTGTTGCTTTTTACCGAGTTTTGTTCTTATTTTCCTTTTACAATCTTCTAAATAGGGAATGATGTCTTAGAAATTAATCTACTTGTGTTTTCATCATAAGTTAAAGCTGGGCATATCGGTACCTATCCATCTGATAAAATATTAAACACGGATAATTGTAAGAACAGAAGATGCAATTTCGAGATAAACGGCATTTTATAATCTTCTACGATGCTGTAAATACCAGTTTGTTGACTGTCTACACTTGTGTCTTCTAATTTATATTTGAAGTTGTTTCCAAACTTTGAAAGATCATGTTAAAATTTGGGTTTCCTCCTGTTAGAGGTAGAGGTGAAATTCTCTTGCGACGACAAGCCTTGATTGTGGCGACACTTAACTTTTCTTTTCATTTTCTTTAACTGTACTCATTTTTTACTCGTCTTCTCTTCTTTTCTACTTATTTCTATCCCTTACTCATCTTCACATTAAAATGAAATACAAGTGAAAGTACAAAATAGATTATTTTTTAATCAAAAGTATTATGTAAAATCTGTAGTGTTTTTTTTTTTTTTACTTCTTTTTCTCTACTCTTATTTCATAAGTAAATGCATGCATGTGCATGTGCATGGGGGATATCGATTAATGTGTGAGAAATAAGGAGATTAATTACTCTCATGTTCTTATTTATGATATGCTTTTTGAGCGGTTAATTTACTAACTACAATTATTAGAAGATTAATATGATGTATATAATTTTGAAGAATCAATTAACAGTCTGTTCGGAAAACAAACAAAATTCCGTTCTACCACAATTGAATAATAAGATCATTTTGTAAAACGTGCCTTGGAAAGGATGTTTCTCCATTACCAACAATTATAGGGCAGTAAATAAACAACAGAGGAAATATTTTTGAACAGTAAATTTTTACAATTTCTTTTACAATCATAAGAGATAAAAAAAAGTAAAATAAAATAAAATAGGTGGTATGAAGATAGTGTTGTAGAAAGTTTTGTAGGAAATTTTTGTTTGAATAGTATCTTGTACAAAATAGTTTAATGTTTTATAATATTTTCAAATTATACAAGACATGTAAGAAGAGATAGCCATATATATTAAAATTTTTAGAGGAGAATCTAAACTTCCTAATTAGAATATATTTATATCAAAACTCTGTTTTGAACATACTTGTTTAATTTTATTTTAGACATACTTACAAATGATATACAAAAGATTATCTCTCAATGCATGTTGTTTACATATGATATAGTGTTAGTCGAGGATTTGAAAGAGGTTAATGTTAAACTTGTCTTACAAAGGAAGACTTTAGAATCTAAGAATTTTAGCTTAAATAGAAGTAAGACAGAATACATGCATTGTAAGTTTAGTAAAAATCAATGAGAATCATGCGTTAAAAATTAAGCTTGGAGAAGATATTATACCACAAGTTTTCAATTGGAATAGGTTTACATCAAGGTTCCATTTTGAACTTACTTGATTAATCTTGTTTTATATGTACTTACAAATGACAAACAAAATATTATCCTTTAATGCATGTTATTTGCAAATGATATAGTGTTAGTCGAGTATTCAAAATGAGTATTCAAAAGAGGAGGTTAATGTTAAACTTGAATTGTGGAGGAAGACTTTAGAATTTAAGGGTTTTCACTTAAGTAGAAGTAAGACAAAGTATATGCATTATAAGTTTAGCAAAAAACAAGACGAGGATCATGTGTTATGTAACATCCCTACTTTATTAATTATCAATTTTATACTTGATGTGAGTTATTAATGCATGTTGCTTGAAATTAAAAGAGTTTTAGATGGGTGAGTTGCAGGATTTTTCGCTGTGGCGAGATGTGTCTTGTTGTAGCAAAAAATCAGCATCAAAATCAGACATTCTGGTGCTCTCTCGCTGTAGCGAGGAGCTCTCGCTGTAGTTAGAATGATAGACAGCAAAGTGCAATTTTTGTCTGATTTTTTCGCTGTAGTGAGAGAATGTCTCACTGTAGCGAGAATTACTCACTGTAGCGAGAATTGGCTTGCTATAGCGAGAATGTCGCAAGTTGAGGGGTATTTAAGGGTTTCCAAGTTAAGAAACTTGAATTATAATCCAAGTCACGACTCTCATGCGTTCTCTCTAACTTTTCTCCTCATTTTCTTAGCAAATCCTTGAAAAATTCCAACTTTTCTCCGATCAAAGTCTCAAAGATCACTTTCTTTGTTCTTTGGTAAGTTTTTGAAGCTTGATTCTCTATCCCTTTGGTTATTTTCTTGATTCTTCTTCTCTAAATGAGGTCTCTTGTGATATTTAGGAAGAATATCACATTTTGAGCAAGAACCTCAAAAACCTTTCACTAAACCTCCATTTCAAGGTAAAAAGAGCTCTATTTTGTTACCAATAAATTGTTATGTCTATATTCATGAAAAAAATTGTGATGAAATGCATGATTTTGAGTGTATTTTGGATGAGAATGTGTTTTTGTTATGTTTGAAGCATGTTTTGTAGTGTTTGATGAAGTGTATAATCATTGATTTGAGTGTATATGCATGTATGTGGTGGACTGAGTCCGAGGAGACTAATTCTCGGCAATGATTGAATGATGTATGATATAATAATGAAACTAGAGTAAAATAGAGAGATAAAAGTGTGAATAATATATTAGTAAGCAGAGAATGAAAAATATAGAGATGAAATGGAAAAAAATAGATAAAGGGAAATGAAGTGAGAAAGGAATATGATAAGGACGAGTATAGATGGTTCAGAGGTACACTGGGAATGTGAAAGATGAAGAAGACTGAAAAGTCTTGGGGAAATGAGGGTAGTGGATATTCCTCTTGAATTGCGCAATACAAATGAGAATAGGAATACCACAGGTCTCACTTGTTTCCTGACTTATACTCCTGACTACATTTTTGCTAAAAGGGGTCGGGTCGGCACACGTTGTATCTGTGTAACTGCAGTTATCCAACGACTATTTATGCTAAGGAAGACCTCGATGGATCCTAGGGGCAGTGGAACTGACAGTGCAATTGAGAATGGAATTAAATATGAAAATGAGTATCGAAAGGATAAATAGAGACAAACATAATTTGGATGCATAACTGAATTGTTATATGATGCATGTTGAATGTTTTATCTGTATTATTGAATTATCTGTGTATGTATGTTTGGTAATAAATGTAGAGATTCATCCTTACGTCACCATTTCAGGGAATCCAGATGACAGCACCCATAGAGGGAATGAGAGTAGTAGATAGTTCAATAATAGATAATGTAAATGATGTATTTGGCGAGTACTGAAGACTTAGTTACTTTAAAATTCTTGTTTATGATAGTGAGGTACCTAGTGAGGTAGTTATGATGGAGCTGGAGTTAGCTTTTAACATTCCTTTTGATTTATCTGTGCATCGAATCCATCATACCCTCTATATTTATATCTTTTCTAACACTGAGAGAACCCAGCAGCAGTAACGTATCTTGTCACATGCCATGATCACGACCATTCCAGAATACCATCGCGATGGACGATCGAGCAGATTACGGATACTCAGGTCACCGCCGATCCCGGTGATCTATACCTTAACTCAAATGACGAACTAGATTCTTAAGACTTAGCGATGATAGAGGGTTAGCATGGGGAAGACTAGTGTCACTTAGTCATTGGTGGGCAGACTGCTAATTAGGACCAGTACTATTTTGAGTATTTGTAAATGTAAATGAAATGGTCATAATGTATTTTGATAACTCTTATGTATATTTGAAAGTACTGATATCTACTGTACATTATGAAAACAAATATGACCATATTATTTGATATTCTCTTAACTAGTTTTAAAGGCTAATGTCTTATTATTCAAGTTTTTCCGAATTAAATTTCTGCTTTTCAAAATTTTTTTTGATTTTATATTGTTATTATGTTAATTAAAAATAAGGATGTTACATGTTAAAAGTTAAGATTAGAGAGGATATTATACCACAAGTTTTCGATTTCAGGTTCTTATGATCTATTATACAAAATGATGGAAAAATTAATGAAGATGTTTGTTACAAAATACAAGCTAGGTGGTTAAAATGGAGAAAATCATCAGGAGTTGTAAATGTAAAGTACCTATCAAGCTGAAAGGAAATTTTTATTGTATTGCAATGCAATCAGCTATTTTATATAGTAATGAATATTGGATCTTAAAGGAACAACATGAGAAAAAATATAGGAGTGACAAAAATGAGAATGTTAAGGTGGATAAGTGGACACGTGAGAAAAGACAAGATACAAAATGATAGTATAAGAGTAAATATTAGAGTAGTTCCTATAGTAGAAAAGATGACTGAAAATTATATAAAGTAGTTTGGTTATGGGTAGAGAAGACTTTTAGGAGAGTAGATTAAATTTTTCTTGATCTGATAAAGAGAAGTTGAGAGACCTAACAAAACATTACACAAAATTATTAAAATAAAACTTTTAATTAACCAGATTTTTAAAGATTTAGTTTTATTTTATTGAGCTCAATAACATTATGCGATCTACGTAACTGATCTCACCTAATAAAATAAAGCTTACTTATTTTATATTATTTGTTCAGACATATTTATATTACAATAATACTTTTTAATGTGTATGCACATTTTATTTCATTAGTTGAAGTTTTAGCCTTTTAGTAATCGATTAAAAAATTTTACGTAATATAAATATGATTAATATTGTCCATTTGCTGTTCAGAGAGTTTACACAAAACACTAACTTAAATTAGGTTCCACTTTTGGGAGATTCTAACTTGTGTTTGGAAACACAATATCAAGTTTTCTTAGGACCGAATAATCACACTTTCATTATATTATATTTTATATATATATATATATATATATATATATATATATATATATATATATATCCAAAATTTTGGAGTCTGCTTATCTTGAACTTACATGTGTATTAACTACTAGCTGTAATGATGCTTCTAACTCGTTCCACATAGAAACTTAACCATAGGAGACCAACCGAAACTAAACTATAATCAATTTGAGTTACCAAGTCTTCAGAAAAGTGTGCTTATAGTTTGCCTATTTCTCTACATGTGTAAATTCCTCGATGAGTTCTGGTTCCAATAAGATTTTGGTTATATTAAGAAACAAATTTTGAATTGTTTCTCCGTTGTGTTCAACAAATTTAAGATACAACAATTATTTAAACTATAATCATTTTTTAAATAAAGATTTCTACATTACATCTTTTAACACCAAATTCAATTTTAAATAAATTTTATGATAAATAAGTTTAATCAAAGTCAATATAATAAAAATTTAACCACACATGCACTTATAATGTGTTTAGATATGCAACTGCACCAAGCAAACATAGGTCTATAACTCAATATGTGAGTTCAAAAAATGTTTGATAGATTTTCAATGGAGTGAAGTAGCGTTGTGCTTTCTCAAAATAATTAATATCTATTGTCTCTAAAAGACAAAAAGAGATCATCTTAATCCTTTTTATATTAAATTAAATTAATCCACATTTTCATATTTGAAAAGCATGAAAAAAAAAATTCCACCTTTCAAGGATTAACGTGATTGAAGTCATTTATTTAAATTTTTTAAGGAGAAAAATAGTATTTTAGTCATTTTCCACGACCGTAATTCAAAACAAAACTCACATTTGAGTAAAAGCAATAATTTACTACTGTTAGAGGAAACATTTATCTCAAACAAAATCCATTCTTTTAGAATCACTTTTCCGATAAAAACACATTGTCATAAATTATTTTAATTCAAGCTCCAGTTTAAATGAAAATATTTTTATGAAGTCAACATCATTTAAAACCAAATTTACATAAATTTATACAAAAAGGGGTCAGAATTACGCTAAAAAAGTTTCAACTACCAAAAGGTTTATTTATTTATTTACAAATTGATTTAATTTTTTGAGGCCAACCATGAAAATCTCGTATCCGAAGCAATTGTTTTTCAGAAACAAGCATTTCCTCCATTAAGCTGCCCATTGCACCACGCCGCTGAAACAAACACTACTTTAAACGGAACCAAAAATCACTTCTACTTAGGTTTTTCACTTATTATTGAAAAACTGGGGATTGTGCCAGATACATGAGAACTTATACCCACTAGTTCCCAAATTGATTAATGGCGTGTTTGAATTGGTATTAAATCTATTCAAATATGGATCTATTTCAACGCCACAAATTATATCTTTCACGTTGAAACATGTTTTTACATGATTATTAAGGGTTTCCAAACATATACTAACTCACCATAAGCAAAGGAACCACCATGGTACTGTGCCCTAGGGAATTTTCTTACACCAAGTTTTCCATCTTAAAACTTCACAGCAGTTGTCCAAGTACCTTGCACACTGGGGTGTTTGGTTACGTGCCTTGTCCTCAATTTGACTACCTTCCTTCCCAATGCATTCCTTAGCCTTGTTGCATGCAAAAGTATGTCTTCTGGATCCATATTCTTCACACATATCACTCGCTCATTCTTGTTCTCTGCATTTCATAGGAGAATCATCTATCACAACAAAAACCTGTTCTCATCAGGTGTGATTTGACAACATGAATTAAATGACACCATACGACAAGGCACCTTAAGATGGGATTGTACTATCCTTTCCATGATCAATGTTATCTCAACTTTCTCTCTATGCATTCCTTTCTAATTCTATATTTTCTAGTGTGTCCACTCATCCATGGTAACATTGTCATATCAGCACTTTCATTTTAACCCCCCCACCAGCCAGCATCAGTACTTGGCAACATCACATAAGACAATCACCAATTACAACCAAAAAAAGTTACAAGCAAGTACAGGAATCTTACTGTAAAAACCCTTAAGATGTGGATGCTGACCACGAATGAGTTCAGTAACCACCTCTAATTGAGGATTCTTCTCCTTAAACACTGGTAAATGTGACTCCATAAATGCCCTATCAAACAAGAGCAAATTGTTATTCGTAAATTTTAGGAGAAAATGGTGATGTTGAACATAAAGTTCAGTTATTAAGCTATCATCTAGATTTCTAGACTTAAATTTTTACCGGTTACCAAAATAAAAGAACAAAGAATAAGCCTGTAGTTAAAGGAGAAAGATGGCCAAAAAAGCACAGAACAACATCCATTTCAAAGAACACAAGTCTGATTAAAACCTTATTATTGGAAGATATGCAACTACGCAAGACTATAACCAATCTCAATTGTTAAGTCCTGGAAGGAATATCTCCAGTCATTAAATTACATATCATAACATAAGAATCATGATGGCAAAACATTTATGATCTACTCCACACCATCCTTTCAAAGCACACAAATTGGTCTTATAGCACAATAGAAATTTAGAACCTATAAACCTACATACCCAAAAAGTAAAAAATAAAACTTTACTGTCCCCAAGAACAAAACTGTGAATATGAGCATATAAAATACATTGCATTGAAGATATTATAAGAATTTTTTCGATACCTAATACCTCTGCTACTTCCGCCCCAGTCGCAACAGCTGACAATTAGCTTGTGAAGTTGCCAAACCCCTCGCAAAGCCATTCTGCTTCTTAAAATAAAAAGATAAAGGAGAAAGGGTTGCAGAGAAATTTGTTAATGAAAAACAATTTATGGCTTTGCAGTTTTGCAAACTGCCGAAATGAAACAAGGGCGGAATCACAATCTTCTGCTAACGTTAGTGATACTGTGTCAAGGAAATTAAGGCAAATTAGCAGTAATTAACATTGACAAAGGTTGGGCTTGCCCCAATCCACCACCATCCTTGCAAAAGAGGAACAAGATGGGCTGGCCCATTTTTGGGAATGTGTTAAACATGTTAACCCCATTGAAAAGTTTCGACCAAAAAAAACAGCCATTGAAAACTTGGCAAGTTGTCCTGCCTAAATAATAATAAAAATAATAAAATGGATAAAAAATTATTAAATTAAAAAATGATGTAGACATGTGATGATAATTAAAGCATCATATTAACATAATCTTTTTTACAAACATTAGCATTAAATGAGATTCTAAGTCACTTAATCATGGTCTTGTAGAGTTGAACCTTAGAATTACATTTACAAATGCAAAATACAAGAAAAAGGGAGGCAATAGATAGTATATAATCAGATTACTCTCTTAAACCAAGAGAATCAAATTAAAACTTGCATCATTCATGAAAGAAAGGCTTTAAAACAGAAATAAAAACAGTACAACAAAAACGTTTAAGAAAAACATCTTCTAGAAATAAAAAATATTTTTAAAAAAAATCAAGGGAGTCGTCACCAAAGTTTATTAAAATAAATTTTAGAAAAATTTTAAAACATAATCTTTGAAACAAAAAATGAATCTATGAGTCATTTACATGTATAAAAGGTGTTAGCACCCTATAACATTTATTTTTTAAAAGAATATTACCTTAAATTAATTGTATAAATTTATTTTAATTTTAAAAAATATTTATTTAACCCCTAAACAATAACAATTATTATTATTATTATTGTTATTTTAAAAGAAGACAAATTATTTATTAAAATGTTAATAGATACCTTAAAAAATTATTTTGACTTGATGGGTCTGGTTTCTGCTATTATGTATCTCGGGTGAAATGAAGAACTCAAAGCCAAATAATTCTATTTAAAAAATATGAAGTTGGTTGATTAAAATTAAATTTAGTAAAAGAAAATTTATTTTAAAATTAAAATTATTTTCATAAAATTATAATATTTTGGATACAAGATAATGCGATTATAAATATATCCTACGAAAAATAATATAAAAGGTGAAGGAAGATCATAACTATATTGCAAATCGTTAAAAATATTTTATTCGTAAACAAAGTTTTTGAATTTTAATTTTGATTATGATTAATGTTAAAAGAAAATTTAAGATAACATAAGTTATGAATAAATCTCTTATAATTTATTGGGCAATCAAAGGCAATGTAAATTTCACATCGATATTGCAAAAATTCGTATAATAAAATAAGAAAATGATTAGTTATTTAATTCATCAAAATTAGAAATATGACTTGAAAAAAATTTAAAATATAAAATTAATTCTATTTGATGAAAGGAATACATATATTTGAATTGATAAAAAAAAGAAAAGAATATTTAATAAAAAGATTAAAACTTCGTTTGATAAATTTATATTGTATAGAATCCAAAGTAACGTCGGTACATATATGTTCTAATAATTTAAAGTGTATAAAAATATAGAGGTTACACAATAATACTATAAAATGTTGTATTAATATGATAAAAATATTTTAAATGATATATTTAATAATAGTAAAAATAATAATAATCAATTAATTTTAGAAATTAGATTTAATTTATATATGTATTGACGATATATAAAACTTAAAGTAACGTTAGTACACATAATTTTTATCAATTTATAATACATGATGATAGAGAAGCTATACGTTAGTATTATAAATTAACGCAAACGTTACACTATTTATTTGTTTAAAAATATAATTTGTTAATCACAAAATAAAAGATCAAAACATGGATATAAAATTTAATTACATCAATCCTTCTAAAAATTAATACAATAAAGTAAAGGATAATACTAAAGACAAATAACTCACACATACATAAATATGCCAAATATAAACAATAACACAATAATTATTATGTGAATTTTTATTTTCATATTATTTATTTTGACATAAATCATTTATTTATTTACCTATTTTTTAGATTTAGTTGGTTAAACCTAATATTTTTAAAATAATAATAATAATAATGAAAATAAATAAAATAAAGATAAAAAAAATTCCAAACTAAATCAACACTAATCTTAGTTTTTTTTTTTTTTTTTCAGAGTCTGATTGCATCTGGTTGCACCACAAGATAAAAAATAAAAAACAAAAATATCAATAAAAAAACAAAAAAAAAGAAGAAAAAAATATAAAAAAATTATGATTCAATCGCATTATAGGCTACTATCCTCTTACTCCTACAAATCTCATCAAATGTCATTAAATGTCGTCAAATGTTTAAAGATATAAAATAATGCCACATAAAAGATGAAACTTTATCAAGTAGGTAGCATCATAAATGCTTTTGCGCAGGTCAAACAAAGTCACATCCCATTTTTTTGTTCTTTTCATTTGAAAGTAATAATAATATAAAAAGGAAAAAAATTATCAAATATTTGTGACTCCTTGTTTTTACCATTCAATTTCTATTCTCTCTCTCATTTTGAAAAGGCTCGAGAAATATCTATATGAATATGGGTCTATGAACAATGATCATACCTAAAAAGATTAAGAGGTTTTCAAATGTGAACAACACTTAGATTATGAATTGCTAGAACGGTGCTATTTCTTTACTCTCTTTTAGCTTGATTTTTTTCTTTCTCTGATCTCTTTTAAAAAAAATGCTTGTCTCCTAAAAATTTTGCTTTCTTCTTGCAAAACTAGTTGTCTTCTTCTAAACATTTTTGCTCTTTCTTCTCAAAATTTTTCAAAATTTGGTTGCTACTTCAAATCTTTGCTCTCTCTCTCTTTTTTTTTTTATGAAAAAAACTTTGTATCCCTTTTCTTCAAAAGAAAAAAAAAAGTTCCCTTTACCTCCGGGTCTCTCATTTTCTATTTATATTGGTCTTCATTTTGTGCTTTTAAGATTTTTACAAAATGCCAACCATCCTGAGTTTTTCCTTTTTCATGCTTAAAGCACAATTGGATGTTAGGTGTAGAATTGTACATTGCAAAATTTTTGTTTTGGGAAGCCAAACTTATTTCCTAAGTTTTTATATTTTTTTTGTTTGTAAAACAATATTTTATGCTATAAAAATTTGAAAGCACCTGTGGGAAAAAAGAAGAAAGAAAAAAAAATGGTATTCTATCATTAAAATATAATAATATATTCACAATGAAAAATTTCAAGATAATGGGCAGGTCGAAAGTTACAAGAAGAAAGATAAAAGCATTATAATGTAGTAAAAAAAATCTAACAAAGTCAAACTCAAAAGAATCTGAAACCTAACAAAAGTCATTAACTCCTGAAAGTGAGTCATCTTCTAAATTTGTCCTCTATCACATCATTATTTATTTAGTAAAAATTATTATTTTTATTTATCTACATTAAAAGTGTAAGCTCATTCTCAAAACTGAAAGTATATAAATTAATTAGTTTTCACGTTCGGTTACATACAATAGTCTAATTTTTTTTTAATATAAAATTAAATCTGTTTAATTTAATCATATTGAATATGATAATATATATTATTAATAATAAAGTAAATAATTTTTTAAAATTTATTAAATTTTAAAAATCAAAAAATATTATTTTACTTTAAAATTTTATTTTTTTTAATAATATCTATACAATACACAAAAACTTCACTAATATACGACTCTTAAATGTATATATCATACATTATATATTCTTTAAAACTATGATAAAAATACTATTACATTATTTATTTGTGTAATTTCTTGTAAAAAAATTATATAATTATCTTAACAAAATTACATATTTTATTTTTAGTTATTAGTATTTAAAATATTACTACTAACTAATGAATTAACAAATTTTTACATTCTCTTTCAATATCATATATAATTATCAAAAATTCAAATGACAAATTAGTAACTTTTTACAATGTATTATATTATTATTATTATTATTATTATTTTATTATTATATAATCTCATATATTTATTTTTCTTATTTATAAAGAGATGAAATAACCCAATAAAGTTTAAAAATTTCTAATAATATTATAAGTCTATTAACTATTAATATTAAATTGAGATAGATTTTTTTTAAAAATTTAATTAATTACATGTGCATGCATATCTAACGCTTCATGCATGCCTATATTTTTAAGGATTTAGAATTTTCTATAATTATATCATATTGTCTTAAAACATGAGATCTCACTGTAGTAACAAGGTTATATGTTTCTGACATTTAAGTTTATATAACCAAATAATGACATTGTTTAGTTTATGCATTATATATTTTTTTATTATTATTATTTTATCAGTATAAATACTAATTTGAGTATTGAAGTATCTTGACAAGTACATCATCTTATATTACCATCAATTATGTATTCAATAGTATAATAAAAGTTCTTTTTTGAACCTTCATTGGGCTCAACTTTTTTGGACTCACAAGATGAATACCAAATTATACTAGCATTGCCAATGAGAAATGATAAAATTATTCCTATTTTCATCTCCATTACCATCATAAAGAATACTCAAGATCAACTTCTTTTAGTAAAAAGAATGTGCTTCTAAGATTGAAGAGTGTAGAGTTGGAGAAATGTTCTTATTGCATAGCCGGTAAACAGATCAGAGTATTATTTAAGAAACATTCTCCTTTAAAGAAGTTAGAGTTGTTTGAAATGGTACATTCTAATATTTGTGAGCCATTGAAGGTAAAGTAAGTTTGCAGTACACTTTATTTTGTTACTTTTATTTATGATTGTTTGATAAAGCATTGGGTTTATGATTTGAAGACAAAAGACTAAGAGCTGAGAAGTTTAAACCATTTCACTCTTTGGTTGAGAGTTAACTAAGAAAGAAGCTCAAATGCATTCGTACTAACAATAATGGTGAGTGTTGTGGACTCTTTGATGTCCATTACAAGAAGCATGATATTAAACATGAAAAGACTTCTCCTAAAACTCCCTAGTTAAATAGTTTAGCATAAATGATGAATAAGACTTTGATTGAGAGTTAAATGTATGTTTTTTGAAGTAAATTTGCCTAAGCATTTTTGGGATAAGGCATTATACATAGTAATGTATATTATTATTACGAGTCTTGCAGTTGCTTTGAAATGGTGCATTCTAATATTTGTGAGCTATTAAAGGTAAAGTCATTTTGCAGTACGCTTTATTTTGTTACTTTTATTTATGATTGTTTGATAAAGCATTGGGTCTATGATTTGAAAATAAGAGACTAAGAGCTTGAGAAGTTTAAACCATTTCACTCTTTGGTTGAGAGGTAATTAAGAAAGAAGCTCAAATGCATTCGTACTAACAATAATGGTGAGTGTTGTGGACTCTTTGATGTCCATTACAAGGAGCATGATATTAAATATGAAAAGACTTCTCCTAAAACTCCCTAATTAAATAGTTTAGCATAAATGATGAATAAGACTTTGATTGAGAGTTAAATGTATGTTTTTTGAAGTACATTTGCCTAAGCATTTTTTGGGATAAGGTATTATACATAGTAATGTATATTATTATTACGAGTCTTGCAGTTGCTTTGAATAGTGAAGTTCCAAACAAAATTTGATTTGACAAGAATGTCAGATTTTATCATTTATGAGTATTTGGTTGTAATGTTCCAAAGGATGAAAACTTCCAAGTTGAATGTCCAGACCAGATAGTGTATCTTCATTGGCTATATTCAACATAAATTTGATTTCAAATGGTATGATCTCATCAAGAAAAACTTGTTAGAAGTCATAATATAAAGTTCTTGAAAGACTAAAATATTAAAAGCATTGATAAAGTGAAAAAGACTACACTAAAGAAAGATAATAATTTGCCTTATGTAAGTTTAGTTCGATCATCTATTCATAGGTTGGATACTGTTGAGAGTAGTGCTCAGCATGGCAAGTAACATGATTATGTTGATGATTAACAGGTTGGAGATGATTTAGATGATGTTCCAATTGATGATGTTAAGGAGTGGCATAAAATGTCACAAGATGAGAATCTTAGCGATGTTCTTAAACCACCTTAAGTTCAACTTAGGAGGTTTAATAGATAGAGACAATCATTTGGTGATTATGTAATCAAAATTGATGTAAAACTTAAATATCATCAAGAGGCCATAGAAAGTGTAAAAAAAAAAAAAGTGGTTAGATGCAATACAAGATGAAATGAAGCCTTTGCATGATAAACCCACATTAGATTTAGCAAAGCTGCCTAAAGGCAAGAAGGCCTTGAAAAATAAGTGAATTTATAGGTTAAAGTAAGAGAGCAATTCTATATCTCTAAGATATAAAGCCAAATTATTGGTAAAATGTTTCAATAAAAGAAAATGTGTCGATTTCAATGGAATTTTATTTGCTGCAACGAGGATGTCATCCATTAGAATTATGTTAAGAATTATTGTTAGTCTTGATTTGGAAGTAGAGCAAATTTCCTTCATAGTGATTTAAAGAAAGAGATATACATAAATTAACCTAATAGTTTTTTTGTTAAAGGAAAAGACTATATATGTAAGTTAAAAAAGAGTCTATACGGTTTGAATTAAGTTCCAAGATAGTGATATAAGAAGTTTAAGTTTGTTATTTATGAGCAAAACTACAAGAAGACAACTTCTGAGCATTGTGTTTTTGTTAAAAAAAAGTTTTATGATGATAACTTTGTTATTTTGTTATTATATGTTGATGGTATGCTTATTATTGAGAAAAATATTTTTAATATTAACATATTAAAAAAGGAATTAATTGTGGTTTTCACTATGAAAGACATGAGAGATTTTAAATAGATTCTTGGTATAAAAATCATGTGTGATAAACAAGTTGAGAAAATTTTGCTATCACAAGAGCACTATATTAAAAATATATTATAGAAATTTCAAATGGAAAATGTTAAAGCGATAATCACTCATCTTCTTACTCATATTAAGTTGAGTGTTAAATAGAGTATTTCAAATGAATCTAAGACATTAAATATGAAATATGTTCCTTATGCCTTTGTTATGGGTAATTTAATGTAATGGTATGCACAAGAATAAATATAATACATATTTTTGATACAATAAGTAGATTTATGTTAAATTTAAGTAGAGAACATTTATTGTAAAAAAGATTTTGAGACATCTTTGTGATAGTAGTTATTTAAGGTTATGAGGAGATAAATTCTTATAAGATCTTGATTTTGTTCAAGGAAAATACTTGTTATTTTGTGATAGTTAAATTGTTATTCATTTAGGTAAAAATTTAACTTTTCATTCTAAGTTTAACCAGATTGATGTAAAATATTATAGAATTTGTGATGTATTGGATGTTAGATTGTTAGAATTGGCAAAAATTCACACCAATAATAATGGTCCTAAAATTATGACAAAGATATTGTCAAAATAGAAGTTTATTGTGAAATAGACAACCATCTCCACATAGTTGTTGTGAGAAGAAAATTTGTTTAGTATTACACTCTCAATATCAAGGAAAAACTAAAATAAGAAGGTTAATTTATGTCTTAATAAGTAGAGAGAGATAAAAGAAGTTAAGAGTGAATTCATTTTAGTTAGAAAGAGTAATATTTTAGTAAGTAAAAAGAAGATAAGTTATTTATACTTTAAACCCAAAATAATTATAAAATTACAATTAAAAAATTTGATGAGTAGATTTAAGACACAATTCTTCACTTTTAATAGTTGAATCATGAGGCAGAGTCTATAGTGCATGGTATTAATCTCTCTTGAGCAATTACTCTATTTTAAGAATTTTCATCATTTATTTACATTTGTAAATTTGATTGCATCGTTGTTTGAGAGATTGTTAGCATTATTTTATACATTTGATTAAGACTTTCCTTATTCATATAATAGAGATAATTTTTTATTTAAATGACCCGTAATTTTTACTTTAAAAGGATTTTTTGCATTAAAAACCTTAGTACTTATTTTCCTTTTCATTACTCCCTGTAGATTTTTGTAATTTTAGAAAATAATTTCTGCTGCATTTCATGTGCCTTTGTTATTGTGATATTATCTCCTATCACTTGTTTACTCGTAGTCCGACTTCGTTAATAAAATTTAAATGAGTATAAAAAGAAAAGTCATCGACATGTACCGGTGTCTACTTTTCAAGCTGTCCCACGGAGCAGTGATGTAAAGCCAAATCCAACAAAACAAAAGGCCCGCTAGTAATGGCATGGCAACAACATCAATAGAATAATAATAACAGTCTGAAGGTAACAATGTAAATAAATGTAATGTGTAGCCCAAACAGGGTCGAAAAGAAGAAAAAGAAAGAAAGAAATGATACTAAGAATATAATAACAGCAACAAAGTGTCTCTCTAGAACATCAAAACAAGGGTAGCCCAGCCCAAAGCTAAGCCTCCCAGCACCTTCTTCAAGCACATAAGGGTTTCTGCTCCACTCTGAAAAAATAAAAGGCGGAAACTTCAGATATTAAAATTAAATTCCCATTTACATACAGACATATATAATTAACAATAATTTGTAATATAAACAATCTCTAGTCGGAACCAACCAATGTTTTTCCTACAAGACAAAGGTTACTCATGTTCTCTTAACAACTTTATAATTATTATTATAAAGCAAAATCCTAGATTTAACTCACTATTAAATGTGAATTTAGATTATTTCAAATTCACAAAAATTACCTAAATAATTATAAAATTAATTAAAATATTAGCAGTATTTTAGATTATTTAATCCTGATTTGACATATTAAAAAATATTAACCTTTTAAATCCTAAAAAATTAATGATAAAAAATGCAAGAAAAAAAAAAGCGTGGGTTCTCCTTTGATTAACTCCAAAAGTTACCCTAACCAAATCCACTGTAAATGGTGGCGCGTGGCCACACCGTAACCTACATGTGAGTTTGTGAGTTAAAGTTACCGTTGAAGGCTTTGAGTTAGTTAAAACCCAAACTCGGTTAAAGTCAAACAAGCAATTCTCTCACGATGTCATAAACTACAATAACAAATCCCAGATCTGATGCGGATTGTACAAAAGTAACAAAATAAGCGTACACTACACGTAGAACAGACAAGAAGACATACCTCATCGTTCGCAGAAGTTGAAGGTCCAGGAGAAGAAGCATCCTCACTGGGTCCAGGAGACCCTGTCGGTGGTGCAGGAGGACCAAGCAACGACGGTGAAGGTGCTGGTGCACCGTGTTTCTTACTCTTTTTACCCTTCTTCCCCTTGCTGGGAGCTGGAGCCGGAACCTCCGGGGTAGTCGGAGCCGCCACGGGAGGAGCAGTCGTCGGAGCAGTTGTCGGTGCCGGTGCCGGAGGTGAGCTTACTGGAACGGGAGCGGGTGGAGAACTAACCGGAACTGGTACCGGCGGTGAGCTCACTGGAGTCACCGCAGGAGGAGACGCGGCCGGAGGTTTGGTCGCCGGAGCAGGAGCTGTGGCGTTGGAGGGTGATGCTTTCGGCGACGATGCGGGGGTTGCAGCTTGAGGAGACGAAGCTGGAGGAGAGGATTTGGGAGAAGCAACGGGTGCTGGTGATTGTGGCTTGGAAGGAGCTTGGGCTGGTGAAGAAACGGGAGTGGTCGCGGCCGGAGTTGCCGGAGATTTAGATGGCGCTGACGCCGGAGACTGGCCTCCGACGCCGGCGACTACAATGCAGATCAATGCGAGAGAGAGGATACTGTTTCGATCCATTTGTGGGTGACACTGTTGAGAGTGTGTTTGTGAGACAGAGAAAGAGAGAGATTTGGGGTCTGAGAAATGTGGCGAAAGGTTTATATAGGCCTTTGTTTGTTACTCGTTAGTTTTATTTATGCGTATAAATCTGGCCCTTTGATGTTGTTGGATGATACCGTTGTTTAGAATAGAAACGGATACGTGCCGATTCATCAGAACCGCTAATTTTCAAGTGGGTCCCGCCTTATCATGGACCACCACTAGCCGTTGGATCAATGTGTCTAAGGTAGGTCCAAACACCGCGTTTCAATTCTTCAATTTCTCTTATTATTATTAATTGCTTTTTTCCCTAATAATCTATTCGGAAAGAAGATATTAGTATTACTATTTACTAATGAGGAAAGATGTGTGATTTTTTTCAGAGAAAATATGACTGGAAATATTATTAATTCTCAAAATCTTAAAATGAGACATATTTGGAGTTTTCATGATTTCATGAAGACTTTTGTTTTGTTGATTTTTTGTTAAATAAGTAAAATGTGAGATTTATTAACGAGTATAAATACTACACACTGGGTATAAAATAAATCGGAAAATATTTCTTATTTTGAGAATAATTTTTTTAAAATAATTACTTCATGCTTTTTTTTAATTTATCGTTTGTGGTTATAACACATAAATTAAAAAGTTTTTTTTTCAGTTTATTAAAATTATTTACAATTTTAAATATATTTTTTATTTTTTATTTACTATTTGGACATTTCAAATATTGTGATTCTTCATTTTTTTTCAATATATATAATTGAAAAATAATAATTAATATTAACTTTAAATTTTAAAATGACTAGTAAGCAAGGAAGTTGATTCAAATTTAAAAATAACAGATAAAAAGCGGAGATATTACGTTCATTAAATAGCCCATGATATTTGGATACTCGGTAGCAACATTTAAGATAATAAAATTAATATTTTGAAATAGCAAAAAATTTAATATTTTGAAAGGTATTATTATTCAATAGTAGTAGCATTTAATAAAAGAAGGGAGGCCACTTTATTTATGTTTTATTAGCATCCTGAGTGCATAAATTATTAAATCCAAAAGATAATTTATATTGAAAAGAAAACAAAAAAGAAAAAACAAAGCACAGCAGCATGGCGCTTGATCCAGTCTGGAGGGGGCCCATATTGGCATTAGGCGCATGTGATATCGAAGAATTGAATATAGCAAGTGACATTTGCGCTAATGTGCATTGGTTTGTGGCTTTATTACTCGTTTTGCAATTAGCACAGTGTTGTTTCTGTGCTGGTTCTGATTTGGTGTTTTGTGGGACCAAATGCCAGCTGGTGTTAGCGGTACACTAAATTGCTTAGGTGGGCCAAACCCATTTTAATGAACCAGTAATCTTATGCCACAACACCATGTCATGCAATCATTTATCAAAGACCTAAGAATTTCACGGTGCAAATATTGGCAACACAACTAGCAGCACCGCCAACTATTGGGTCCCACGCGAAATTGCCTTAACAACCGTACCTTCTACGTAAGATTTTCCATTTTAAAGAAAAATATAGAATGAATATTTTCAATCTCATGTCTGGACTCTGGAGTGTACGCAAATCGGTTCAGTTCATATTTAAAGGTAAAAAAAATGGAAGCTAATCAAAATTTTAATTGCCTTGATTTTGTTGGCTTTAGTTTCTCTTACGAAATTCAAACCAAATTAAAAGTGGGTTGGTTTGATCCCCTCTGTCGGATCCAACTTTTTCATTGTGGCATTAAATGATTCATTAAAATAATGCAGAATTACTAGCATGGAATCACAAAAAGATTTTTCAGAAAATAACCAAACCCAATACTCTAGTCATACAACTCATCAAGCTCGCTTCAACAAATCAAAGAATAAGCATTTTTAATAATTTTTTTATCAATATTATAAAAATATTCAATTATCACTTAAAATAAAAATAAAAATAGAATGTATTTTCAGAAGCGAAATGAGCTCAAAATATATTGGCATGGTTATTTATATGTATTAATAAACAGATATCTAGATATTTGATAGAATAGAAGTCAACTGAAAAACAAAACAATTTTGGACATTGGTAGAGGAGATGGGGAAAGAATCGAAGTGTCGAGGACCACTTGCGTAGCAGCAACTGGGGGTAAAGGGCATGATTTCAGCTTCAGGCGCTTTTGTCGAAATCGCAAATTGGATAACGATATCACAGTGGCCAGTGGGGGCTGAAGTTCAGGGCTTACGACATCGAAGTTTGCAAACATCACGGTGTTGCGAGCACGATGGCAATGTAGGACACGATTTGTTATGGCAGCAGATGAGTTCTAAGTCAAGGTTTTGTCATTTGGGATGGTCTTTGCACTTGACCATAACGTTTTAATCTGGGTAAGATATGTTTTTAATTTTTGTAAATACAAATAATTTTTTTTTTGTCACATGAGTTTTTCATTTATTTTAGTTTTTATAATATTTAAAATCTTTTTAAAAATTCAGTATCATATATTAATAATATGGTATATATTTAAATATGTTATATACTTTACTTTAAAATGGTAGTTCATATGGTATAATTAGATATATATATATATATATATATATATATATATATTATTTTAGATATTATAAGTAAAATATAAAAAGTAAAAGATCAAAATTAAATTTAATTATATTTTTACAGATTAAAAAAACGTTTAAATTAATATTTTTTTATAAAAATATATGGCTGATTATTATTTTCATTTATTGAAAAGTCATAAACTTAACTAAACCAATAAATGATTATTTCAATTGAATTTGATGTAATTTAATTACTCAAATTGGAAAAGTTTTTTTATAATGTTCATGAATAAAGAGTGCTAACATCTATGAAAATTAAATTAATATTTTAATAAGTATTAATTATATTTTTAATTCTTTTAATTAAAATTGGGTGTCGTTTCGAGTTTGTAAGTTTTTGAGTTAATTTTTTTAATTAAGAAAATTTGGCAATGTTAATAATTTTTTGTCTAAAATTATTTTTTTACGTGATTAATTTTTTAAAAAAAAATCTACTCAAAATTTATCGAATAAAAATTTAAAATTTACACAAAATAATTTTATTTTATTTTGAAATCAATATCTCATATCCTAAAATATTCCATAAATTTTTTAAAACTTTTACTAAAATTTTAACCTTTAAATTTTAAAATTATTTCCATCCCAAATTTATCATAAACTCTTAACATTTATATATAAAATAATAATTTAAGAATATGCAATAAAAAATTAATGAAAAAATCAAATTTATTTAACTTTACAAATAGAAAGATTTAACTAACTTGAAGAAATACATAATTTAAACTAAAAATATGGTGAGACTAATTATTTCAAAATTAAAAATATGATGAGACTAATTCTTTCAACAAAATATTTTTAATATATAAATTTTAAACCTAAAAGCTTATTAAAAAAATTAAATATGTATCAATTAAACTAACTGATATTTTTTTTTTAGTTCCCTCCATTGAGTAGTTAGGTTTTTTTATTTTTTGGATAAATTGTTATTTTAAATTTGGATGTGCAAAGAATTGGGTAAAAGGCACATTTACACATCCAACTTTGCTATCAATAGGTTGTTAAACTCTTGATTACTATGGATATACTCTCATCCTAATTCATTGCAAATTCAATATTGTGACAAAACTGATCTAACCATCACACATGTAAAGAAGCTAAATTCATTATATATCTAACAATTACAATGTTAAGTGTAAAAAACGTTTAACTCATTTTTGTGACCATCAATATCTATATAAAAGAAAATTTTGTTGGGTCAAGTACATATCCTTACTCATCATACCCCTACTCTGATTAAATTACTCTAATTGTGAGAGACTATCAACAATTCTTATCAACTACTTGTAAATCACATGTACCAATTATTCATTTCAGACAGCCCTCAATGCTTAGGCATTAACAAGTTATTATCTCATTTATCGACTTTATTTTACTTATTTAAGTCTTGTCCTATTTTGATAATTTAATACTTATTTGATAAATTATATTTGTACAGGTTTTTTTTATATATATACATAATTAAGTGTATAACAGAAAAAATAAAGTAAAATTTTGTGATAAATTGATTGATTAAATATAAAAAGATTGAGAAATAAAATTGTCTAAAGTACCGTATCAATTTGACATAGAAATAATATAACTTTGTTTTTTTTAGATATGATTTTTCTTATTTTGATTTCTCACTTTTTTTAAAATAGTAAAACAAGTATATTATTTTAATGCCTTAAAATTTATTATTTTAGATTGGAATTATTGAACAAACTAGTTTAATATGTACAAGACAATAATAAGAAATTAGTTAACATAATAACCAAATGGCCAAGTAGATTAACCAATTGATAGGATTGTATTACATTGACTCCAAGAAAGCTTTCATTTCCAACAAAATTACTCCTAAAAAATATGAGATTTTCAGGAATAGAATTTTTGAAAATAAAATAAAATGTGTTGAGTGAATTATTATACAAAAACTTAATAACTTTACTTGCAACTATTACGTGAAAGATTTATTAGATGCCTATAAACATAAAAATATAATTTAATTATTAAAAAATAACATTTTTATGAGTTTTTAATTTTCAAAAAATGTTTTTTTTTTGTTAAACATAAAAGGACTTTTTATTCACACGTTATTTTCTTAAAAATAATAAAGCACTCTTTGTATCAAATACCACTTAATGGTAATTGATGGGATGAAAAGCAAATATAATTGTAAGTGTAATAATTAAGAAAAGGGCCGGGGAGAAAAGATATAACAAGGGCCATGATACCTGCTTTACAGCTTTGTATTAGTGATATGATGTCAATTATCAAATCCTCAGTGTTTAATCGCAGTATCACAGTGTATTTCTTCACTTTCTTCTTTTCGACTTTGCTTGTGATATCTTGGCTATTAAGGCACACCATAAGTATAAAGAATAAAGGTGATCAAATAGCAAATGAGCAATATACACGCTTCAGTACTCTTCATCACCAAGTCCAAGATATATTATA